TATAATATATATTTTTGCATTTTCTTTATTTCAGATTTTTAGATTAAGTCAGGTAAAACTATTTATTTAAATTTTTAATATTTTGAGAAAATTCAAAAGTGAGAAAGAGAAATCTTCATATTATTCATCAATTTATAAAGATTCAGATTAAAATTAAAATTTTTTCATTTAGTCAATTTATTAACAATTTACTATATAGAATGTTGAATTACTCAAAAGGAATCAGAATAAAAATATTAGATTTCTGATATTTTTATTTGAATATTAATATTGAATTCTTAATTCAGATAATTTATAGAGTTACAGGTTTATAAATTTATTCAACTTAAATTGGTGATAATTTTCTACTTTAGTAACAAATATTGATTTTTGAATATAATTCTAATTTTAATGAATAAATAAATCATATATTCAATCATATTAATATAATTATATACTTTTTATTTTATAAGTCAACAAATATGAATATATGACTTATACATTAATATCGACATTATATTAAAAGCTTTTTCTTTTATAATAATTTTGGAATATTCAAATATGTCATTGATGACATAAATCAATCTCTAAAATTATTGTACATAGAATGATTCTAAATTTATATTTTTCTTAATGGAAATAAGAGAATCAAAGATACATTGTGATAAGCATAATAAGAAATGCTATTTTATATGCATACAAAAGGAATGTTAAGTAGGGAGAAGACTTTTGTGCACCAAATGCATTTCTAGTCAACTTCATAATTCACATAAATTAGTTGATTTTGAAGATGCAAATAGATGGATAAAATAGAAAGAAAAGGAATGTTTAGAGTAGCTAAATGATTAATCATCTGAGATTTGGAGGTAATTCTCATCATCAAAATAAAAAATAAATTGTCTACTTGAATCAATAGAATTAAATCTAATTGCAATATTGTCGCCAACCTTACATAAACTTAAAGAAAATCTAAAAACCAATAACATTTTCAATATTGCCTAATCATTATCAGAATTTAATTTATAGACACCAAAGTAACAAGATTAAGAGATAGATTTGTAATTTTTAGTAGAAAGGATGAATAATTCACTGCTATAATTAGAAGAATTAAATACTAAAGTACACTAATTGGATCATAGATTTCTTTGGAAATAAATAAAGAATTTCAATGGACATGATGATGTAATTTATTCTCTAGATATATCTCCTGATGGCAAAAGGGCAGTCACTGGAGGAGGTGATATGTAAATAAGATTATGGGATTTAATAAATTATGTATAAATTGGTAATCCAATTTAAGCACATGAAGGAATTGTTTGGTGTGTAGCTTATGGATAAAATTGTATTATTTCTGGTAGTGATGATAACACAATTAAATATTGGGATGATAAAACAATGAAAATGTTAGATATCAAATATACTAATGATCCAGTGTTCTCTCTTGAATTAAATTAAGATTACACACATTTAGCATCAGGAATAAATAATTTGATTGGTCTATGGACTTAAAGTGATAGGAAATAAATTGGAATATTAAAAGGTCATACAGATTATGTAACATCATTATCTTTTTATACTCATTTTCTAGTTTCAGGATCAAAAGATAAATCTGTGAGACTATGGAATATTTAGACTAAATAATTAATTAATATATTTTCTGGAAATCAAAATACTATAAGAAGTGTAGCATTTTCTAAAGATGGTAAATATATTGCTTCAGGAGGATATGATAAAATAATAAGAGTGTGGGATCAAAACAATAATAAAATGATATAGTATGATCATGGTGATATTATTTGGAGTGTAAGATTTTTGGATAATGAGACTGTGATAACTGGTGGAAAAAATGCAAAAATAAACTTCTGGAATTTAAATGAAAGTCATTAAAGAGATATGTCTATTGAATGTGAGAGAGGAATAATGACAATGTCTATAACAACTTCTGGTAATACTATTATTGCTGCAACAAATAAAGACATATGTATTTTTGAGAAACCTAATTGATTTTATTGTGATTTCTATTTTTAAACTATTTTATTTTATTGATAATTATAAAAGTTAGAAATCTTTGATTAATTTATTAGGGGACTTTAAGAATTCTTTTTCTATGATGTTAGAACAAAAAAGTATTATAAATTAGAAACTGTAACCAGGAATCATAGATTTAGGTTCATTTAAAATATATATTAATCTGTAAGTTTAAGATAATAATGATTTTAAAATAATTGGCTTTTTTATCATTTTATTTATTTGTAAAGACATTCTTTTGGTTTAGGATATAATTTTTCTAATTCAGCTTCATAGTTTTTTATTGCTAAATTTTGATTAGTATCAGTTAAGTATATCCAATATAAATACCCATACAGTTTTCCATCTTTTTCTACAAAAATTTGTGCTTATTTTATTTTAACATAAAATCTTTTTCCATTAAAATTTTACACTTCCATTTCAAATATTTATTAGTCGTTTGAAACTGCTTCAAATACTTAATGCCAAACTTCTAAATAATTATTGACTCTTATAGCACAAGGAAGTGTTTTTGTTTCTCTTAAATACTCTTCAATCATGTCAATTGTTATACCCATTAAATGTAGAAATTTTATATTATGAGTGTATTTTAGAATAACAGACTCATTTCTTTCATGTCGAAATGTATAACATTCATATGGATATTTAGAAGCAAGTTCTTCCACTTGAGATATTTCAAAGTCTTTTGAACATGGGATCGATGTTATTTAGTCATATCTTTATAAGTATTTACTCAAATTATTATAAGCCTTATCCATGTTCAATATTCTTAACATCTAAAATATCGTGGATATATCAGCTAATTCAAAGTCTCTAGCCTAAAAATGATATTCCATTTTCTGTTGTTGAATATCAGTTTGAGAAACAGAGTACCCAATACTGAATATGTTGATTCCTAATTCTCCTAGAGTATTATCATTGAATGTTGTAAGAGCAAATTGTATGTTTTGCTTCGTTCGAAAGTATTAGTTCTGATTAATATTTCTTGGAATAATAAATGTAGTCACAAACTCTTTTGGCTAGGGTATTGAATTTTGATATTATTCCTTGATTTTAGAATTTTATTTCTTTTTCTTAATGTTTTTATTCATAGGAATTACAGCAATCTTGAAGGATGGATTATTTATTTCCATTTTAATCGAGTTCATTTTAATTATATTTAAAATAAATGTATCTTTACAGCGCACTAAATAAAATGCAATGAGCATTTTTTATTAATCTATTTTTAGAATAGAATGACTCTAATTATATTTCAAAATATATCCAAAATATTTTAATTTACATGAATACTCTTTTCCTAACAGTCACTTACAAACTAAAATATAAATACTATATATTATTTATACTGAATATATTCGATAAAAAATCTTATCCTTAATAAAAAATATTATGATTGTTGTTAATAATCTAAAAAAAATATATCAATTCATTTTCTCTAAATGATAACATACTGATTCAATAATATTATTTAATGGATTATCACCTGAAGCCTTAAAAATAACTGAAGCGTATTTTGGTGTTCCATCAATTAATTATTTTAAATCATCCCATCTTTTCAATCTAAGTGAATATAAATAAGATAATACCTAAGTTGCACAACTTCTCTTTTATCATTTGGAGCAATTATCAATCTTGATTTGACTTCTCTGTCTGCTTCATCAATAGAATTATAGATTCTTCCAGACACAGGGTCAGTTCTTCTCTAAATTAATCTCTTTAAAACAATGTCATCCACAGCATCAATAATGACAATTAAAGTGGGTTGGATATTGAGTTCATTTAATGATTCCATTTATTATTCAGTTTTAGGATACCCATCAATAACATAACCCTATAATTGACAATCCGTTTAATTAATTCTTTCTTTGATGAGAGCATTGATGATTCTATCATCTACAAGTTCCCCTTTATTAACTTTTTCAAATGCTTCCTTACCAGTAGTACCTTTTTTATTAACCAAATTTGAAATTAATTCTCTTGTTGAGATATAAACAAATCCATATCTTGAACATAAATGTTTTGCTAATGTAGATCTACCTGATCCTGGAGGTCCTATTACAAGAATTCTTCCAGCTCTTGTTGGTGCATTATTGTATAATTTATATTTAAGTCTTTACTAGAATAATATTATGTATAATATACAGCCATATCTTCTAATTCATAATTCTTTTCTCCATCAACAGAAAAGTATTAATTCTTATAAATTTCCTTAACTTATTTCAAATTCAATTAATATTCTAATGAATGATTTCTTGCTAAATCTTCTTTATTACTTAATTTGCTGAATGGTTCTGTATCTAATTTTTTGAGACAACATTAATAAATTTTCTCTTCAGACATTTCCAGTATAAGAAAAGCATCAGGAATTATTCCTTCTTTTTAAAATGCTAAGCCTTAGACTCTTGTTTTTGGAAATCCTTCAAAAATATAGCTTTTTTTATCGTTTTCCAAATGCTAAATTTGATTTAATGCAATATTAATAACAATGTCATCGCTAACATATTAAAATTTATCCATAGAATCTTAAATTTATTAACTCTTGAGATATATATAATTTAAATACTAATTCTGATTTTTTGCTTAATTCTTTTTCAATCAAATCTCCAATAGAAACACAATGGAAATTCATATATTCAGCAAGTGTAAGAGAAAGTTCAAGTAATTTGGATCCTGGAGGTCCTATTACGAATATTTTTTTTGCTTGAATGAGAGTTGAAAAGTACTTTCAGGTTCTTGTAATTTATTAATCAAGAATTGTATTGGATCATCAGGCTTTTTAATAATAAGTGATTTTAGCATATCTTCAAATATGTTATACACTTTATTTCTTTCTAGATATTTTTCTACTTGTTATTGGTATTATAACTTATTTGCCTGATCCATAAGTTATACTTTTTAATTTAAGAATATATTAATATGTTTAATATTTTAAAATATACAAGCAATAAATTGAATGAACTTCAGATGTATATACAATTAATAAATAATATTAATATTATATAATTAAGGATTGCAAAATCAATTAATTATTCATTCATCATCTGAACTTGAATCTGAATCCAATCCACTTATAATAAATTCCTAATTTTATTATTCAAGCATAGATTAACTTCCATTTTCCCTTTTCTCAATAGCTTAAACATTCCTAAGTAATTTTTGTCTCAATTCTTCATCTGCTTCATTGTAACTGTCCTCTCTCCTTGAATAATCTTGCTTCCTTTAATCATAATCTTCATCATATGGAGTACTTTATTTTGTGGAAAGTTCATTTCTTGATAGATAACTATCTTAAAGATGAAATTTCTTCATGTGATTCCTTAAAGGCAATTAACTTGTATACTGTTTACCACAATATTAACAATTCGTCTTTTCCTTGTTTGAATTATACATGTATTCTTAATCATTTGATTTTTTTTTCAAATTTATTAGGGAACTACTGGTTTTATTTAAACTACTATCTCCAAGTTTAATCTGATTAAAAAGTCGTGTGTATTTATCAGTTAATAGTTTTTATTCATTAAGGTAATTACTAATGAAGTCTGCTAACTTATAGTTCATAAAAATAATATCAAATTCCAAAAGGATTTGTAAATAAGTTCGAGACTAATTATTGATATGATTATAAAAATAATGGAGTTAATTAAATAATCGTAACTCATTTAAAAGTTTCAATTCTTCAAAAAAAAAGGATTCTCATTGTATTAATAGAAGGATATTCATTCTATGAATACAATGATTAATCAATATTCAATCTTTAATTATTTAAGTGAATGGCATATCCATTTTTTTAATTTTCACTGAATTTGAAAAATTTAATTTATAGATCTTGAAAATAGTATGTATAAATACAATTTATATAATTAATTAAAAATCTATGGATTAATATAAATATATAGAGTTTTTAATATAATTATCAGCTTATTAAAAATTATTAAATTTATTTATATGATTCTATAATTATATGAAATTTATTCTTCTTAGCCCTTTTATAAATTTTATAACCTAAAATAACATGTAAAGCCTATAAAATATTTGAATTATCTACCTAATATTATTAAATATTGCTTTTTTTATTTGATAATAAAAATGTGTTAAATTTATTTTATTCTTATTTAGAAATAAAATTTAAATATTCACATATCAACATTCTTTAAGATGATATTTAATTTAAATAATTTTTATCCATTTTCTGAAGTTGTTTTATTGAGAATTTTTTTATAATGTTCGAATTTATTCTGAAAGATTGTCTATAAAACTAAATAGGAATTTAAGTATTTAAATTCACAACTGGTAGCTTTAAATTTTAAGTTGTCATTTAAGGATTGCAATTTTTATTAAAAATATTCCTCACAAATATTTGAATATCATTAAGGGTCAATTAAGAATAATTATCAAACAAAAAATAACCTAGATTGGAAAATTAAAAAGGTTAAAATATGATTATAAAACATATCATTTTTCAAATTGGTATAATGTTATATAACAATGCTGAATATTTGAATTTAATTCTTATATAAATATCTATTTAGTTGACTTTATCGAATTAATTTATACATCCAATTCATTCAACATCAATTGAATATGCTAATTTATAATTAATCTTAATTTAATTATTAAATTACTTTAAGATATATCCCAAAATGCAATAATTATTTGAAATCAGAATAATCAAATTAAATTTTATTCTAAATATATCCTTCTCCACACCTTTAATTATGAATTTGATTAACTAATAATTTCTAACAATATATTTTTATTTTTTAAATAAGATTATTTTAAAAATAAATTATAATAAGTTTATGATGGTACCAATTTCAAACTATAATAGTATAAGTTAAAAGCTTTAAGAATTAATTATTTAGAACTGAATATTAATTACTTATAATTTATTTATTTTATTAATTATGCAAAAGTAAGCAATCGGAATGACTAGGTCAGCTAATCTTAGTCGTTAATCATCTATCTCATCTCAAACATCAAATTCGGACAAAAAACCTAAAATTAATTCTTATATATCATTATCACCTCGTTTTGACCCAGAAAAAGGTTTGGCTTTTGAAAACAGTGTTAAAGAAGTGAAAATCAAAGAAGATGAAACAGATTAACCATAACAATAGATTTAATAGAGTCCGAGTTAAAAAAATATTGGAAAGATTAAGAAATAATCAAGCTTTACTTTAAAAGCATAAAAGGATGAATAAATGAAAAAAAGCTAATTCAGTAGAATATAAAGAGCAGATAGCTTAAATCCTCAGAAAAATTAATGAATTAATATATATTATTATTTTTCATTATTGAGAAATTATTATTAAACTGATAGCTATTTTGTATGGGTTAATGCTTGATTTGAATTAAATAATCACTAAAAAGGAAAGTAATTTAAGCAATTCATATCAAAAATAAAATTTAGTACACTTTAATTGTTAATTTAAAAATTAATAATAAAATTTCTTGGTTTTTAAACTAAGATAATTTAAGATAACTAAATAAATTAAGCAATCTTCATTAGAACTTCATAATATATTTGATTATTTTTCATTTATAAGGAGTGATGATTAATTCAGTTTTTTTGTATTATAAAGGTTTAGAGATTTGAACTTCTATATACAATATGTAATATCAAAATATTATCTAACAAAAATAATAGAGGTTTGTAAATTATATGATTATACTCTACTAAATTTACATATTGGAATTGATTATAAAACATATTTATATAGAATCTGATCTATTCTGTGTTAATAATATTTAAATATATAAAAATGAGTTTGTAATAGGAGTATGATTATCTTTTCAAGATACTTTTGATTGGAAACTCAGCTGTAGGAAAATCATCATTGTTACTCCGATTCGCTGACAATGTATTCAATGAGAGTTTTTTACCTACAATTGGTGTAGATTTCAAGATCCGTACTTTTGATTTGAATGGGAAGACAGTAAAACTATAGGTAGTTTTGGAATAAAATTTAGATTTGGGACACTGCTGGATAAGAAAGATTCAAAACAATAACAAATTCTTATTATAAAGGAGCTCATGGAATAATATTAGTTTATGATGTGACTGATAAGTAATCATTTAAGGATGTTGAAAATTGGTTAGCTGGTAATTATATTTAAATTCATCAAATAGAGGTGGAAAAGTATGCAA